TCTAATGTTATATTTATATAGTCTTATACTAAAACTTAATTATAATTACCTAAGGAGAAAGAAAATAAAATATACCTAAGTCGGTTACAATGTGAATTCATAATTATATCTATATAAACCCTAAAACTACATTATATTTATATACTGAACAGTGACCCTAATTTAATCATTAATAATAATTAATAATTAAATGAGCCTTATACACATATATTCCCATATATATATGTATAACTATCCATGGGTATTAACTGTACCCATATCCACAAATCCAAGTAATCCATGTGACCTCAAACGATTGGTCTATTACTACTATCCATGTCCATCCTTAAATAAAATTTAAATTAAAAGACAATAATTAAAAAGTACACATAAACATAAAATTAAATTAAACCACATAAGTCAAATAAACAATAAACCAATTAATCAAATAGGCAGATAAACAAAAGTAAAACGCACATCAAATAAACAAACAATTAACATACACATGGAATAAATAGTCAAATAAAATGCACATTAAACAAATTTAAATTCCAACTATAACATTTAAATTCCAATTATATCCTTTTGAGAATTAGGGGTATTACAACATCTCACCAGAAAACCGTTGGATCCCATACGAAATAGGTCCAACTAGCAATGCCTCACATAATCCGCGCTAAACACCATAAGGGCTCACAAGGATAGCGGTTACAAAATCGCTCAATGAACCAACATGCAAGCTCAACTTGCAATCCCAAAATATACCTAACATTGTCTCCGATGACTACTACCCTTGACACCTATGTCATAACTAAACAACCAGTTACTGGCTCTAAAATTGAGCAACTCTTCACACTTACTAAAAAGTCAACTCCCTAACGATCGTATCCAAGAGAAACCATCCATGCACTCGCATGCACAATCCACAACATCCATTCTACACAAAACTCACTTCCAAATAAAACATCCAACTCCAATCTACGTAACTCACTACATCCTGCCCTAATCACCGTTAATCACACAAGATGATCAATGACATTTGACCCAATATTCTGTCAATGGAGGATCCTGTTACTCAAGAATTGACTCTAGAGGGGGGGTGAATAGAGTTAATGGCCAATTTTTATAATTTATAGAAATATAATTTCTAATTAACAATATAACCAATTGTGCAATAATCAACATATGAAATCAAGATATGAAAGTAAACAATTTATAGCACAATTATAAAAGAGATAAGGGAAGAAAAATTGCAAACTATAACACGGTGATTTTTGCGAGGTTCGAAAAACTCCTACTCCTCGGCTCAAGATCCCTCTTGAGACTTCCCAATCCAATATAGCTTCTCCTTACGGGTGGAGAGCAAACCTTGATTAGAAGTAACTCCTTGCTAAGAGAAAACCTCTCTTAGTCTTCCTTTGGGTCACACCAACCCTTATAATATCCTTGCTAAGAGACCACCTCTCTTAGTTTTACATAGGCCACACCAGCCCTTACAATTTCTTTACTAAGGGAAACTCTTCCTCTTAGTCTTAAAGCAGATTTGTAGATAGAATTCGTAGTACAAGAAATCCTCTCAAAAATTGATACAAATCAAACCTCACAATAGAGTATATATGAAGTCAAGTGAAGCTCAAACTCTAAGTATAAAATGTATAAGAGATGATGAGGAAAAAATGCAGAACAAAAGCTCTGTATAATGATAGAGCAAAAAGCTCTCTTGGATGCACTTGAATGAATGTTCTTGAATGCTCTCTCAAGTAGTATAATAGAGTATAAACTCTATGAAGATTAAAACAAGAGCAAAAGCCCTTTTGATCTTTTACTAGAATCTCTCAAAAATAGAATAAGCGTGAAATGAGAGAGAAGAAGATGAGAGAACAAAAGCTCTCTTGAAATGTAATATTATGTCTCTCAAAATGGTGGTGTTTTTGCTTCAGCAAAATGAGCCTTCCTTATATAGACAGCCGAAGCTTAATATGTTTGTTAGAAGTAGTTGGAAGACTTAAATGCAGAAAAGTGCCGTTGAAGATTCAAATAATTTAGAAGAGCCGGCTCTACAAAAAATTGGAGGAGGCTCCAATAAATGGGAGGCGGCTCCAATAACTAGGAGGCGGCTCCAATTCACAAAATGCATTCTACGACACACAATTTGGCTACTGGAGTGCAAAGAAGCGGCTCCTATAATTGGGAGGCGGCTCCAATAAAAATGGGAGGCGACTCCAATTGATAAAATGTGATTGCTTTAGTTTTCATGGAGGCAACACCTTGTTTTGGATTTTGACAGAAAATGGCATGACTTCATGTGATGACCTTGTGAGCGGGTGTGCCGTGGGAGGGTGCGATAGATACTATCAGGCTACCACACTGGCGAGCTACGGGTGCACAGTCCCACATCGCCTGGGTAGAGGAAAGGTGAAGTGCTTATATGTAAGTGTGTCACCTCCAATTGGTATGAGGCCTTTTGGGGTGAAGCCCAAGAGCAAAACCGTGCGGGCTCAGGCCCAAAGTGGATAATATCATACCATATGGTGGTGTGGGTCGTTACAAATGGTATCAGAGCCTGACCCAGTCGGAAGTGTGCCGACGGGGACGTCGGGCCTCCAAGGGGGGTGGATTGTGATGACCTTGTGAGCGGGTGTGCCGTGGGCGGGTGCGATAGACACTGTCAGGCTACCACACTGGCAAGCTGCGGGTGCACAGTCCCACATCGCCTGGGTAAAGGAAAGGTGAAGTGCTTATATGTAAGTGTGTCACCTCCAATTGGTATGAGGCCTTTTGGGGTGAAGTCCAAGAGCAAAACCGTGCGGGCTCAGGCCCAAAGTGGATAATATCATACCATATGGTGGTGTGGGTCGTTACAAATGGTATCAGAGCCTGACCCAGTCGGAAGTGTGCCGACGGGGACATTGGGTCTCCAAGGGGGGTGGATTGTGATGACCTTGTGGGCGGGTGTGTCGTGGGCGGGTGCGAGAGACACTAACAGGCTACCACATTGGCGAGCTACAGGTGCACAGTCCCACATTGTCTGGGTAGAGGAAATGTGAAGTGCTTATATGTAAGTGTGTCACCTCCAATTGGTATGAGGCCTTTTGGGGTGAAGCCCAAGAACAAAACCGTGCGGGCTCAGGCCCAAAGCGGACAATATCATACCATGTGGTGGAGCGGGTCGTTACAAATGGTATCAGAGCCTGACCCAGCCGGAAGTGTGCCGACGGGGACGTCGGGCCTCCAAGGGGGGTGGATTGTGATGACCTTGTGAGCGGGTGTGCCGTGGGCGGGTGCGATAGACACTGTCAGGCTACCACACTAGTGAGCTACGGGTGCACAGTCCCATATCGCCTGGGTAGAGGAAAGGTGAAGTGCTTATATGTAAGTGTGTCACCTCCAATTGGTATGAGGCCTTTTGGGGTGAAACCCAAGAGCAAAACCGTGCGGGCTCAGGCCCAAAGCGGACAATATCATACCATGTGGTGGAGCGGGTCATTACACTTCAAATGGACATAACTCAGTCCATGAAACTCCAAATGAGGTGAAATTTAAGTCTAAATTTATTGCCTTGAAGTCAGCTTTCTAAATCCACTGGCCTTGCTCAAAAATTATAACCACCAAAATGGTTATGGTCGTTTTAGTGCAACCTGGTCAAAATTTTCGCAGACCAGAGATATGCATTTTGTAATGCTCATATCTCATTCAATTGAAATCCTTTTTAGGTGAAATTTGAGTCTAAACTCAAGAGATCGAAGTCAGCTTTCTAATGCACCTAGCCTTACTTAAAAATTCCAACTACAAAAATAGTTATAGCAGTTTTAGCATAGGCTGGTCTGGAAATTTTCTAGGCTGAAAATTGCTTCTTTTGAGATAACCATCTTTCTAGCACCTAGGACTTTGATGAATGGTTCAATTTAGTTCAAGACCTATTTCTAAGAGTCTAGGGACATATAAGGATGATAAATATCAAGTTCATTATGTCCTAGAGTCATTTACTAAATTATGGCAACAAAGGCTTTAAAGATGAAATTATTAAGTTCAATGCCTTTTCCTTTTCTTTCTAGACACCAAAGTAAATCTTATGATTAATGTGCATGGTCCTAGCATTTCTAGCTCAAGTTGCGAGTTCTTTCAAAGCTTATGCAAGCTTGAACTAACCCTTTCTTAGCAAAGACTTCATATGACAATATCTATGAATGAAGTGCAAAGTCTATTACTAAGGATATAAGAATATGTGAATGATGATAATATGCATGATCCTATAGAGATGAGCTTCAAATGGATTCATAAATACTTTGACATTGAATCCAAAACACTCACCATCCTATCTACCTATTTTCTTCATGCATTGTCCATGATCGTTTAGGCTTGAGGTAGTATTGCTTTCTTTCTTCCTTTGAGTTGTTTTCTTGCTCATTGAAGTCCAAGCTATCTTTGGACATTGCATTTTGTTCCTTGCAACTTCATATCTTCATTGTATCCATTTCTTTCCTTGATGTGACCTTGAATAATGGAATACTTTGAATGATCTTTAGTGCTTCATTGAGGTCATTCTTTGAATGTGAATAATCTATATAACACTCAATGTAAACATTAGTCCTTAAACACCATTAATGATTTGTTATCATCAAAACACCTAGATTGTCATTGGATGAATTCCTTAAGGTCAACAGATCTGACTCAGGAAAAATGGTTGGCCAAGCCACTATTCCCCATCAGTCCATCCTGACATTCATGTCATTTTTGTTTTTAGGTCAAAACCTTAATCATTACTCCCACATGACTCTAAAAGGAAGAATACGTATTGCACCTAAAATCCCTTAAATCTCTAAGATTCTAGAGCTCACTATAAAACATGAGATGTCACGGTCCAGTGGCCACACATACAGACTCTTAAAACCATCCCTTGGCAACCTAAAGCATTCCTCCAAGAAGTTCACATACGTGAATCCTAAAGAACGAAAGCAACCACCATAACCAATCCTTAAGTCTAATAACCTATCGCACCTAGCCATCATTACAATGAGACTCTAAGAGAAACCTAATGTTTCCTCAACAACCCACATCCTATACTTGAATGGTTCCGAATCCGGAACAAACGCCACCAGAACTAGGGCTTCACCTCCTTTCACAGGAGTAAGCCAACTAATCCTAACCAAATCGACTCCAAAGACTCTCAACAAGGAAGGGACTCTATAGATATCCGCCCATCCACTGGCACGCACAACTCCTATATGGAGAAACAACACCCAAAAATGATAGCGCCCATGCCAGGTGTTACAAGGGGAGACTTGTCCCACATCGGATCCGGATGGGAAGTGACATGGGTATAAATGGGTGGGTATGCAGCACTACCCAACAGTTCGAGCTTTTGGGTAAATGGGCAAGCGCCCACCTGTTACAGTTGGTATCAGAGTTAGACCTAGTCTTTGATCCGGTGTCACGCCAAGCGCCCGGCCCGGAAGGCATCCGGATAAGCCACCCCAGGTAGGCAGGGTGGCCCGACCGCAACGAGGGCGTTGCGAGTTCGGGTGGGGGAGAATGTTACAAGGGGAGACTTGTCCCACATCGGATCCGGATGGGAAGTGACATAGGTATAAATGGGTGGGTATGTAGCACTACCCAACAGTTCAAGCTTTTGGGTAAATGGGCAAGCACCCACCCGTTACACCAGGATAAAATCAAACAGGAAGGAAAATGAATCCTAAGAAGCTAACACATGAACCTGGGTGTACCTAATACCCTATCACACAAAACTTAATAAGCATCTAACCGTGGACATCTACCCTTACGCAAGGTGAAACCAAACCACTCATACACAAGGAAAAAGGATAACTCATGACAACGCATACAGAACTCTAAATCACGTGGAACCCAGATTCACCTCTACACGATTCCATCCTAGACTAACAACCTCATACCATGCATGCCTATCGGGAATACCCCAAAAACACATAAGAAGCCAATGCAAAAAGAACTGAACCCAACATATAATATATGCATGCACACCGAGTGCCAAGAATGCCATCCATAAATAAAATAAGATAATATAATATAGAATGAAATAAAAATAAATACTCCCACATAAGGGCATCAACACACACAACTTAACAATGCCAGGGAGTAACAAATACTACTCGGGATATCGCATCCTACTTAATTTAAGAAGAAGTCATTCTCCAAATAACAATCTTCATCACGTGAGAACGATGACACACCGTTAATCCATGCCACTATAACTCCCCAAGGTAATCTAAATATCTATACAGTGCACAAACGTCATGACATTTGTCACCTTAACCTAGGGATCCATTTCTTTCTTAGTGAGAGATTGAACTTCATACATTTCTTTAGCAAGAGATAATGGACAACTAGAAGATAATTCTGCTATGGCTTTCTCAATTCGTTTGTATTTCATGTTCCCAATATCAGTCAAACATGCCATCACTTGAGACATTATGGAGGAAAAAACTCTCTTTCTTAGGTTTCTTACCTACAGGTATAGGAGCAGGATTGAGGTTAATAGTTGTATGTACATTAGTCATGTCCACATTGCCCTCAATGCTATGAATTGTAGCTTTATGTGTTGACACTTGGGTGGGATTGGGTGGTCTTGTAAAAGGATGAACATCCCTACCAAAAGCATTTATATCCCTAAAAATAGTTATCATCTTCTCATAATGCTTACACCCCTTTCTTCTGTTTTTTTCCCATTCTTGATAACCTACAAATTATTCTCTTACAATTATTTTTCATAAAACCCTTTTAATACTGACTAACTAATTACTAACTTTATGTATGGTAAATAGACATGTATTGAAATACTAACCTTGCACAACCGTTCCCATCTTTCATCTTCTAACACAACCATGCATATCTCACTGTTGTACCCTACACCAGTCTCAAATAATAGTTGTTTGTAATCTTTGTATAGTGCTCTCATTGTGTTGAATTTTTTTTTACAATGGTCCTTGGTGTACTTCATTCCAGTTTTCACTAACATTCCGTCCACAATATGCCTCTACCCAATTGAATTAAAAGTGGTGGTTATACGATTTCCTTTTCTAACCTCTTCCTCCATTAAGAAAATGAATGTCTCTTGATGGGCGTCACACCAAATTGTAACACTGGCCTTTTCAATTACTACGTCCTCACCATTCTCAGCATCAAGAGAATGATTGTCTCTTGATGGGTATTGCCCAACATTCTCATTGTTCATGTCCATCTGATTATTTTTAAGTAAATTTCATATATTGCAAAGCTAAATTTTAAGCCTATATAAAATCAGGAGATAAGGCCAAATTAGAACTCATTTGTCGTGACCCATGTTTTTCAACTCGGTACATAGTGATTTCCCAAAGGTTAACCCGGTGACGGATATGAAATGCGGAAGAAAATGATAAAATAAGGTCTTTAGGGATATAAATCATCCCTAAGACAACCATGTGACCTTCCATAAAGTCACATAACTTAAAGAGAGCGAAAGGAGTAAACGGTGCCCAAAAATGAGCAAAATTCGTCAATGAAGGGCATAATGGTCAATTCACAATTAGAAAGGGAAAATTGACTCTAAACAAGTCAAACAAGGTGAATACAACCTAATATAATTATTTCATAACATTCAAAGAGGTTCAAAAAAACTTTGGACAAGAATCCCACAAAATGCCCTTTTCCGGTTTAAGCGAAAACTAACACTGTCCCACTAAAACTTTAATAACTCCCACTGTGAATGGAATCTGAGAATGGAATTGGTATCATTGGAAATTTGACTCAAAATCCTTCAGTTTATGCTCAAGAATCATCCCATTTGGGTTAGAAACGAAGAAGTTATGATCATTTGAAGTTGGAACTTCAGTGCTGAAACATAACTGAGAGACTATGGGAATGTATGCTATTTCGGTCGACCGAAATGGAGTTTTGATCGACCGAAATGACCAGAAACTTTATTGAAAACATGTTTTTAAGGGGTGGTTACTACAGTAGACTGAAATGAGCCATCAGTCGACCGAGATAGCCCTGAACAGTACTTTTGGCTACTGGAAAGTGATGTTTTTTATGCAATGGAATTCCCAAAGGCCATCGGTCGACCGAAATGGCATTTCGGTTGGCCGAAATGACTAGTAAAGGTGCTAAAAGTTAGGAAAAGGTCCTTGGTCCAATTCTAAGGTGGTGCATGCATCCCATATGATCTGAACACACTTAAAAACATTCTCTAATCTCAAAAGAGCATCTTTAACCTGCTAAAATAGAAGGGAACTTAAAACATACTCCAATGCATGAATCTTTTTATAAAAATTCATAATTGATCCATAAATGGTTCAAAAGTCAAAACTTAAGAGTTTTGTGAGATATGAGCATGCACACAAACGTAAAATGATGTATTAGATGCGCTACAATGGCCTATGGCCTCATGGCATGTCATATGCAAAATATGACCCTTCAATGCGTGAAATCCCTTATAATCCATAAACAAACTATGAAGTTAAACTAGCATATATGTCATATAAGTGTCTTTGGCCTCATTACATATACATTCAAGGAGTGGCAAAAGATGTACTTAAGTGCATATTACATAGTTTAGACAATAAATACAAGTTTTTATACAATACACCAAAAAGGATCATGATATACTTACAACTGCATATTCAATGTCACCAAAAGTACTCCAAGAATTCTAACAAGTCTAAGAGTGTTGTGCATCCCACAATAGAGCTTATTTACCTGAAAAACACCCAGTAACTTTGGTGTGAGTAAACAAGTTTACTCGTAGGGAATGAGCATGCATAAGTTTAACTTATTACATAGTTTGTAATTCAATAGAATTTAGTCCATGCTATTAAAATGACATTGGAACTTTTAAGATGACACAATGAGATGCAATATCACATGGTTATCAAGTTTGGAATTTAAATGCGAAATCAACCAAAGTGGATACTTGGACATCACGCCGGATCAAACCGATACCATAGTTACTTTAGGGTTACTAGCCTATGGGTAACCTCCCTATGTGCGCACTAGACTTGTAGAGGGACATTCCCCTATACTAGAACCATGCCCTAGCCTTAGTCATAACAACGACATCCCAAGTTTCCAAAATCAACAATTTGTGCAACAACAACATATATGTATTAACACAACATATATATACAATGTAAAACCATCTACCATGCACAAACCAATTTTGGAAACACAATACATGCTCTAGTTTACAACTATAATGGCATGAAAAATGTTGAATAATTATTATGTAACTTGTCATCCTTTATAACAATATTAATCAATAATAAGTATGTAATCTCACAAGTATTATACAAGTTTAAAATCAACATTTAAACATGTAATCAATATGAAATCCACCCTCAAATCATTAATACAACAAGATAGAGATTAATCTAATAAAACAACTGTGATACCCCTCGATTCTAGAGCCACAAGTGATCAAGTCCGGGTATAGATCCGAGAGATACCAAACAATCAATATGTAAACAAGCAGGAATAAAAACTGAAATAAGAATAAAATAATAATGCGTTGAAAGAAAACTAAAATAAAAATCCTCAAAGTTTGAATAATAAATTAATATAATTTAAATCCTTCAAATCCGTATAACTCTGGAATCCATCTGGTGGACCCCTAATAATCCCCAACTGAAAATAATTTACATGCTAATATCCAAAACTAAAATAGAAAGGAAATCCTATGCAATCGGAAGAGTGAGTGTCTGTATCTGCATCAACACGATAAAACTCTAAGCCTGCTATTGATGAACACCTGAAAAATAAGAGTGGGTTAGGCCCACATGCAAGTTCCATCCTACTACAATCCATACATAAACCCGATACACAGATACATCCTAGATAGCTCGGCAATATCTAAAATAGTCTATATAGATATAGATACACACTATAGGATACTCACTAACCTATAGTCATCACACCTGAGTAGAAGGTAACATGCAAAATGCCTTAACGTAGTCATACACACCTAGACCTACCAGGGAACGTCATTAGGTCTAGTTATCCATCCAAGCGATATACGCACCCTAACCATGGTCAGGAAACTCAAGCTCGTACCACGGTACCATAAGTATATATATAAATTCCTTCCTAATGCAGAAAGATAAAATAAATAAATATTATGTCGTTCAACTGTTTTAGTTGACAGGACATGCATCCATGTAGGATTTAACTGTTTTAGTTAATCCATCTCTTATGTATGAAGAGGTAGGACTT